GATATGTTATAGAAATTTCCAGAGAAGAATATATTTTTTGAGAAGAATATTTTTAACACTCAAATAGACGAATAGTTTTTTAGAGTCAAGATAACTCCCTTATCATTTATGAAAAATTAATATAGTATATATTACAAGTAGCAATTACCAAGCCATTGATCAATATCATTATTAATAATGCTTTTGTAGGTAAGAGAATAAGTACTTACTACAGAGACATCTGAACTTATATTTTTTTAGAAAATAATCTTAACATTTTTATAAACATTATGCATTATATTTCTTACACTTATAAAAGCTGTTTCTCACTAGTTTGTGGTAAAAAAATGCTATTGGAAAATTATTGCTTTCTCCTGCACCTCCCTCCCCCTCCAACCTTTTAATTTTCTAGAAAAATAATCTTTCTTAGTTAGGAAATATGTTAGGGCTGTTTTTCATAGTCTGTTTTGGATTTTTCCATTCTTAATTGCTGATTTTGGAGCTCTGGTGGCCTAGGGGTAAGAAGCTGTGCTGCAACCCCAGAGGCTTGCACTTCAAATCTACCAGCTGTTTCATGGAAGAAAGATGGGCAGTCTCCTCCCATGAGATTTACTGCCTCTAAAAACTTGAAGGAGGTTGAGCTGTGAATCACTTCTAACTCGACAGCACACATCAACAACCATTATTGCTTTATCCTGTCTTGGTGTTTTATATCAAGAAAAAGTAAAGATGAGCCTGAACTTAATTGGTAACAGTCATTAGAGCAACCACATCTTTTTTTCTTGCTTTGTTTTTCCAATAGGGAAAAGGAAGTTAATTTTACCATGATGAGTACACCCTAAGTCATGGGACAGGAATTTAGTTATCAAATACCTACATTGTTCTTTTGTTCATTTTACTCCTGCTGAAAAAAAAAAATGACAGAAGCCATGCATTACCTTACATTTAGTCTTCTATCAGTGTAAAATGTTCTTTTAACAGTTTCATAAAAAAGCAGAATTGTATTGATTATCCTTGTGCTAAAGGTTATAGACCTTTCTCCAATTTGGAGTCTTGATTTCATTAATAAAAATCATTATAATGTATAATATTGCATTAGAAATTCAGAGATGGCAAAGTTTCAAGATTCTGTTTTGCATAAACTAGACATTTATAACTGAGCTAAAAAGCAAGCTTCATAGTTTTATTTTATAATTCAGTATGTATTTAACAAAATATTTTCATAACTGAAAAAGCAGAGGTAACCATTGGCTGTGTAGTTCTTCCATTTTAGTATACTCATTCTTCCTTAATTACGTTCTGTCATAATCCACTCTCCTGCACTGATTGCTTTTATGAAAATTGAAGTGATGAAATTATTTTTTTTCAAAGCAAACTCTTGAATAATAATTGAGTTCCTCTTGTAGATCAGCAAGGAAAAAAATGCTTATGAACTCAGTAGTCCTTAAAAAATGTCAAACTTTTTTCTGTCCTTTTGGTTTTTTCTTTAAAGAGTTTTTACTTCTAGCACAATTACCTATTCTGTTTGGTTAGTTTCATAAGTTTATAACTTGGTTTCTTTTGTATTATGTTTCATTCATATATGTTGTGTTTTACACAATTATTTATACACACTGTATTTTATATAATTAGTTGATCGATGCCTCTTATTATCCCATCTTTTCAAATTCCCATTGAATTTGTTTATTCCTTCAAGCCCCCGTCTGCCCACTAACTTCTGTCCTCCTGGTGATTTCCACCCTTTGCCTTTTCCTCCCCCATTTCCTCTTCCTTTTTTGAGCATTTATATACATTATCCTTCTCTTTCCACAGTAATGGTCTTATGTAGTATTTGCCTTTATGAGACTGTGTTCACTCAGTATAATGCTTTCTCTAGACTCTCCCATGTTATATAATAAATTTTAAGAAATTGTTCCTAAGTGCTGCATAGTATTCCATTGTGTGAATACCACAATTTCCCAATCCTTTTATTTGATGATGGACATTTGAACTGTGTGCATTTTCTTGCAGTTGTGAATAATACTATTATGAACATAGATGTATGAATCTCCATGAGTGTATCAGTTCTAGTTTCTTGGAATATTTTCCTAGCACTCCAGTAGCTGAGTCATAAGGGATTTCTATGTTCAGTTTTATGAGAAAATGCTAGACTGCCCTTTAGAGTGGTTGTACCATTTCACAATCCCACCAACAATGAATAAGAGTTTCAATCTTTCCACGTTCTCTCCAACACTTACTGCTTGCTGTCCTGTTACATTTTGTTACTGAGATGAGATAGTATCTCTTTACTCTTTACTGTTTTGATTCACATCTCTCTGATTGCTAGTTATTTTTTAGTATTTCTTTATGTGTCTGTTGCCATCCAAATTTCTTCCTTTGTGAAAGTCTTTCCCTATCTTTTGCCTATTTTGTAATTGAGTTATCTATTTTTTCCTTATTGAGGCCCTCTAATATTCTGTGAATTTTCATTATGACACCCTTGTTTCAGATATCATTGCCGAATGTTATTTTCTCTACTCTGCAGGTTTTCACTCTATAGGAAAAAATGTTTTATGCATGTTCTTGCTGTTGTTATGTGCCGTCGAGTTGCTTGCGACTCATAGCAAACCTATGTACAACAGCCCTAAACTTCGCTCTGTCCTGTGCCAATTGCACCATCTCCGATACACCCATCCCAATTGCCCCAGTCACTGAATCATTCCACCTCATAGAGGGCCTTACCCTTCTGCGCTGTCTCTCCACCCTACCAAGCATGATGTCCCTCTCCAAGGACAGGTCCCTCCTTATACCATGTCCAAAGTATGTTAGATGGAGCCTCAGAATCTTTACCTCCAAGGAGCTGCCTGGTTTGACCCTTTCCAGGATGAATCTGTTTGTTTTCCTAGCAGTCCATGGTACCCTCAATACTCTTCTCCAGCACCACAGCTCAAAGGCATCAATTCTCCTTCTATCCTCCTTAGTGATTGTCCAACTCTCTGATGCATAACAAGTGATTGCAAAGACCATGGCCTGTATCAGATGCACCTTAGTCTTCAGAGAGACATCATTGCTCTTCAGTACTTTGGAGAGGTCCCTAACAGCAGACTTTCCCATGGCAATACGTCTTTTAATTTCCTGGCTACTGGTGCCGAGAGTGTTGACTGTGGAGCCAAGCAAACTAAAGCTGTGAAAAATCCCAATCTCTTCACCATTCATTCTGATGCTGCCAATGGTCCCAGTGGTGAGAATCTTTGTCTTCTTGATATTGAGCGTCAATCCATATTGGAGGCTGCAGTCCTTGACCCTCTGCAGCAAGCTCTTCAG